CTTTAAGACCTGATAACTTTTTTTTTTTTTTTTTGCTGAGACCTGGCTTTACAAAGACTGTCTTTACTAAGGCAAGGCTAAGCAAGTTTAATTGCAAATAACAACTCAAGACAATTCAAAATGCTTTACTTGAATGAAACACACTTCAGGTGATAAAAGGCTGACCTGGTAATTGCCTTTATGCGCCTCTGAAGGTTCAAGTCTGATGGGTTCGTAGAGACCTGGTGACATTGTGATGTAAAGCTGTGTCGTCTGTATAGTTATGGTAACTGATCTGGTTGTTACAATCTGAGCTAAAGGGAGTACGTAGATGCTGAATAGGAGGGACCCCAGAATGGGGCCTTGAGGAACTTTGCATTTGAGTTTCCTAGTATCTGATATAAAGTTCTCTATTCACACATAAAATCCGTGTCGTTCAAGTAAGATTTAAACCAACAAGTGCTGTACCAGTGAGGCCAACCCAATTTTCCAAATTTTCTAATATCAACTGATCAACAGTGTCACACTAAAGAAATTATGATATTTTGTTTCCTAAGACCTGTTAACATTTTCCTGAGACCTGATAACATTTTCATTAGACCCTATAACTTATTTCCTTAGATTTAAGAATGTGCTAAAATGTACACAATATACTGTAACTGTTCATTTAATTTGACAGGTAGGGGATGAAATTTTAGCTGTGAATGAGATTTAAAGATCCTAAGATAGAAGAATACACAATTTTGGCTTTAATCCAAGACTGGCAAGAATAAACCCAGTGTTGAAAGGAAAACATTAAAATTAATTGCTTCATATGTCACAACTGACACAGAGGGATGCTGCAAAACAATGTTGATCTGGTCAGAAAACTGCAGCTAAACTTTTGGACTTACATAGAAATGTTATGTGTGGAGGGAAGAGGGGCCTCCCTAGTCTGAAACACAGTAGTAGCCGTATCATGTTGGGGGGAGGCTTTTTTGGTGGAAGATGGATAGAGATAAATGAAGGGAAGTAGGGTGGTTGATGATTTCATGGCGGGCCTTGAATAATTAGAACTTTATTTTTTATTTTTTTTGCTAACAATGTGGATTGCTGCAATTAGCAGTTAGATTTACCTTCACAATTGGCTTTATTATGTTACTCTGTTCTTCCTCAATACTCTAACTGGAAAGAGAAGTTTGTCTGCGAGAAGTTTACATTGGTATTTTCTCCTCTGTCTATCATTTTGGCTCTCAAGAGAAGCAAAAATGGAAGTTTATATATATTGCATGTATAAGTAGTTGATCCTTTTGGGTGCCCACTAGTTGCCCTAGGGTCCTAAGCAATTGCTTAGTTTGGTTATACCTTGGACTGGCCCTGAAATCCTAAATAAAAGCCTGATTTCTGGCAACAGGACACATTTTAAGGGTAAGATTCACTTCCCAGCAAAACATAAAAAAAGAATTATTGAAAATGAATGAATTAGATTAATGACCCAATCAAAAACCAGACCTTTTTCTAACTCTGAATACCAGTAAAAGAGAAAAGTTGTCTGAGACACTATGCATGTGTTTACTTCCAATTCACAACTCTGTGCAACTTTGTGTTGAATAATCATAAAAACACACACTGAATATTTAATTGTAGCTGCAAATGGGTTTTCAGTGTGATAAGGTTTAAGAGGTAGGACCACTTTTGCACAGTAATCTTATTAGCCATCTGTTATCTAACTATTATTTATTACATGAATCAATTTTTTTAAATGAAATAGAAAATTAAGTCAGTCAGCATTCTTATATACCTTTGTAAAGACATTAAATATTATGCAAAACAATGCAATAGTGATGCATGAAAGAAAAATGAAGATTTGAAATCAACGTTCACATAAAACATCTAACCAATGATTTAATCTAATTTCGAACTAAAAATACTTCCTTAGAATTTATGTATTTACTGTAACTGTTTACTGTTTATATGATATCATTTAGAGAAAATTTGCAAACTATGAGCCCGAGTAAAGACAAACCAAAGTCTCAAATGATCTCAAGCAACATATGAAAAGAACTCTTTGTTTTAGTTTATTTTAGGAGCTGATGGCTGCTGTGGAGTGGTGTGTGAACACTCAGCATTTGAAGGAATTGTTCTTGTGCAATGCACAGAGTATCTCCTTAAATACATGTGAGAAAATAAATTATTCTCCTGATGTCTAATAGATTTCAAATCTAAAGACAAAAATGTTAACCTTACTTCTATTTCTATGTGGCATCAGGACTGGCAGTCCGTCAAAGCTCGTCAGGGCTGCAAGTGTAAGCGAGCTAAGTGCACCTCGCAGGCTCCGCTGGAAATGCTCTCCAGAAATACAAAAACTCATCACCTCCTCTGCTGACAAACTCCAAAGGTCTGTGTTCACTCTGGGTTATTTGAGGTTATGAAATTGGATGCTATTTTATTTTTTTAAGTACTGCAAAACATATCCTCTGTCTAATCAGATTGGTGAATAATCTGGACATGAACGTTTACAAATTCTCTGACTATGGGAAAGATTTCATTAAAAAGCAGAAAATGAGTCCAGATGCATATATCCAAGTTGGACTACAGTTAGCATATTATCGGTAAGAAAAATACACATTTTGGCTTTTTTTATTCTTCTAACTCGGAGGTAAGTATATTCTTCCTTTGTTTTTCACCACAGGTGTCATGGCAGACCAGTGTCCACGTATGAAAGTGCTTCAACACGTCGTTTTCAGAAGGGCAGAGTTGATAACATCCGCTCAGCCACACCCGAAGCTTTGGCATTTGTCAGAGCAATGACTGATAAGAAGCTCAACTTAAGTGTAAGATGTTACAAAGGATTGACACCAGATATTTACATAAAAAAGAGAAATTGCTACATTGCTCTTGGAGTAAGATGTTAATTAAGACCATTTCTTTCCTGTTTTAGGTCAGTGAGAATAATAAAAATAATGTAGACTTGCTAAATGCTAAAATAATAAGATATTAAGAGAGCTTTTAACAAATAATTTTGAGGCACTTAAATGTTGAGATTTATATACATTTAGATTATACCATGACTTTAAACAATATGGTAAAGCTTTTTCATGTTTTGATGTTTATTCACACCATTTCATTTAAGCAGAGGCACAGTACAAGTGTGACTCAAATACACCACTTATGTGAGAGAATGGCAAAAATTAAAGAATTAAAGCAGGATATTACAAACAGAATCGTTGAACCCAGTGGACAATTTTTAGCTGGCTGAACATGCTAACATTTTAGTTTCCTTTGCTCCTTTTTCTTATGTTTTAATGCACTTTGAAGCTATATGTCTTATTTCCTATAATTACAAAATATTAACTGGGATCCTCTACAATGACAGGACATGGAGAAGATGGAGATGTTACGATGTGCCATAAATGCACAGACCAAGTATACTGTTCTGGTAAGACTTTCGTAACATACACATTTCACAACAATAATGTTTTATTATTATTATTTTATTAATTGCAATAATATCTCTTTTTGTGTTTGTTGTTCCAGGCCATCACTGGGATGGCAATAGACAATCATCTATTAGGCTTGCGTGAAATGGCTTCTGAAATGAAAATAGAGAAACCTGCGATCTTCACAGATAAAGCTTATCTCATCAGTAATCACTTTATCCTCTCAACAAGTCAGGTAATTCTAATCTTAGACACAGAAAAATACAGTTTCTGATTTTTTTACTAAGAAATATGGCATGTATTTTGTGAGATGAGTTATTATTAATGATATTAGTTATTTTCAAGTTTAATAAACACAAATCCAACTATTTTGAAGAATCAGTTTTGCTGTTTAGGAACTTCACAGAGCCACAACCTCAACTATGAAATCAAAATAAAAAAATGAAACCAACTATATAATTCAAAGCAGCACTTAGAATCATTTTTACCTTAAGATGAACATTGATGATAATCTTTATGCTTATACTCTCTGGCAAGAAAACCACATTTCCAACTTTCTATGCCACTAACCCAGTGGTTCTCTCATTACTTCATTTGCCCACAAAAATGAATAGCTTTACAGCAGCCCAATAAAAAGCCTTTTACATCAATAGCCTTATGCCACTCACTGTGCTACCCACAGGTGATCTTAGAACACTTTTAACTTTGGAGGTCTATGACATAGCCAACCCAGCAAAAAAGACAAAAAAAATCTCTGTCAAAATGTGAAAGAAAATAAATATAAACAGGACATGGTTCAAACAATAGAATTTAGGCAAGGTATTTATTAGTGTTGCGCCAATGCCATTTTTGGCTCAGATACCCGATACCTGGCAGTGCAGTATTGGCCGATACCATAACGATACCATCTGTTTGAAATTGATGTGTCTGTGTATATACGAAGAACTTCATACTACTTGGATGTAAAATAAATGCAATCATGGCTTTGTCAAGTTGCTGCCTACCTTTGTGACGCAAGAAAAAGACTAACACAAAGTGAATCCAGTAGAACTTTTTATTGCCTACCTGGAATGGGTGACAATATTTGAATGACCTCTCAAAATGCTCTCAAAGCTCTCAATATGGTATCGGTGCCCTATTGGTCGTTACTCGCTGATACAGACACCACCATTTTAGTGCAGTATCGGGGCCCTGTCCGATACTGGTATCGGTATCGGTGCAACACTAGTATTTATTATGTAGTGAAACCTCAAACAAAACAACAATGTAAAACTGATGCAGACCTGGAAAAGTTGTTATTGAACTTGTAAGTACCATAGGTGCTTACCTCTGCCAGCGTTGATAACAAGAAAGCGTATGACTCAATGCCACAACCATGGATCCTGGAATGCCTGGAGATGTACAAGATCAACAGCACACTTGAGGCCAATTTAAAGTCAGTTGCCAGTCTCCATCAAATATGGAATATACCAAGAAGTGCTTTGTCCCCTCTGCTTTACTGCATAGGTCTGAACCCCCTCATCCAAATAATCAAGAAGACTGGGTTGGGGCACTATCAGTCAGTCACCTCCTGTATATAGATAACATCAAGCTGTATGCAAAGACTGAGCACTAACTTGTTGATCAACACTTCCAGGATGTAATTTGGGCTGGAGAAATATAGGTGGAGGGTAACAAAGAGAGGTTGGATAAACCACACAGAGGGGATTGCACTACTAGACAGGCAAATGGCAACCAATATGATACAAGGTAAGGAGCAACAGCCAAATACCTGTAACGAGTAATGCACGTTCTGAGAAGTCAGGTCCATGGCAAGAACAAGGTCTGGGCAATCAACAGCACCTTACCTGTAGTCATATACTTTTGGTAAAAGTTTCCTAAGAAGAGTATGAATTCCACTAATCTTAAAACACAGCAGCTACTCACTGTACGTGATGGATTAAATCCCAAATCTAGTATCCACAGACTATACACTAAGCCAAATGATCAACAAGACTGGCTATAGATACTGACTCAGACATGGGGCCACTATTAGCCACTTCCTGTTCATGTATGACATCAAGCTGTATGCTAAGAGTGAACAAGACATTGACTCACTGATTCACACCACCAGAATCTACAGCAGGGAGATTGGAATTTGGCCAGATGTTGATAAGGAGAGGGAAAGTAATCCACACAAAGGGAATCATACTCCAAAAGGGTCTAATAGCAGATGTAGAAGAGAGCTACAAGTACCTTGGATTACCAAAGGTAAATGGTAACCATGAAGAGGCAGAGGGAAAGCAGCAGCAGCAAAATACCTGCAACGAGTAACGCAAGATCTGCAAAGTCATCTAAATGCTAAGAACAAGGTCCAGACAATCAACCGCTTTGCCTTGCCAGTAATCAGATATGCTGGTGGGGCAATAATTTGGCCTAAGGAGGAAATTCAGGCTATTGATGTTACCACACGGAAGCTACTGACAATGCATGGTGGATTTTACCCCAAATCCAGTATCAACAGACTATACACTGATATAAGAAACACTGATGTTGGCAGCACAGGAGCAGGCTTTGAGCACCAAAGTAACAGTGGTCCAGTTCAACCATACCAGGGAACATCCCAGGTGCAGGCTATGCAAAGAGGCTCCAAAGACAATCTCACAGCAGGGTGTAAGACACTAGCAGGAAAGAAATACATAGAACGTCATATGGCTATTATGTTGTACATACGTACAGACATATAGAGGTACAGACAGACAGACAGACAGACAGACAGACAGACAGACAGACAGACAGACAGACAGACTAATGGGCAAGGGCACAGACAGACAGAGAGACAAAATATATTATAATACTAACCGTGAAACATATCGTCGGGATATATGTTTTCCAGCTGCTTTAACAGTGCCCTGTTAAATCAACGCTTTATGTGACTTTCTTTCTCTTCTCAATTGGAAATTACTTGTGAGTCCTGGTTAAGCTTGTAAATCATGCTGCTGGCAGAACACACAAACCTTTCGTCATCACTACATCACTCCCTTGACCCTCTAAAAGCAGCTCACCCCTATAAAAGACTACCAATGCTTGCCTGTGACTACATCATTTGGTGAGTCAGGGGAAAGACACAGGGTGACTTCGACCGTCCTTGCTGAAGAAAATCTTGCAAAAAAAACGGCAAAAAGACATCTAAATCCCACTCTAATGTGAAGCGGCATTTGACCAGCAAAACCTCAAGTTGATAAAGAAGTAACAGATAGTCTAAAATATGGAAGGTCCTTTAACCCTGTAGCTCTGCCCCTTATTTATGAATTGTGCTACGTGACAAAAATGGCTGCAATCCACCCAGCTGGAGGAAGAATTTTATAGTACATCTAAGTTGAAGGTAGAGATGAAGTATAAATCAAAAATGAAGGAATACTTCTTACATACTAATTGAATTGTGAAATTGTATTTATTTTATTTTACCTAAGTGCATTTTAAAATATTTAAAACATACATATCCTTAGTAGTACTTTCCAAACCAAACAAAAGTAGTTTTTAACAGCAGTAGTTAGACTGTCTCTGGCAAAATATTAAGCATAAATTTTTTTTCAGGTCCCAACCACGGTAGAAATGTTCTGCTGTTATGGACCAGTGGTACCAAATGGATACGGCGCTTGTTACAACCCTCAGTCAGACCACATCATCTTCTCAGTGTCCAGTTTCCTTGAAAGCCTCGAGACGAGTTCTGCAGAATTCGTAAAGTGCTTGGTGCAGGGACTTCTGGATATGAAGGACCTGTGCAACAATTGCAACTCTGTCTCCAACCTAGTCGAGGGAGGAAAAAATCCGTCTGCAGAGATGAAAATGCAAACAGAAATCGAGAATAAAACATCACAGAAAATATCTGAGTCAAATACGAAACAGCAAAGGAACCCACCGGTGATGGTAAAAAGTACAAAACTGACCTTTCCAGAGGAATGAATGCAAACTTCTATAAAAGGAAGGTGTAAAGGAACAAAATCAATCCTAGATAAATATGGCTGATGATATGTGGTATGTTCAGAATGTATTTATTGTGCAATACTGTGTTTTTTCTCAGTCTAAAAGAATGTACACTATAACTGTGATGAAGAATATAACATTTGAACCTGCTGTACTGTAAACGTGTATGTGGAGATACTCTAATTATTAGAATTAGAAAATTATTTTTTTATGGGTAAAGCTTTATATCTGTTGTCAAAAGCAGTAGAAGATTAATTAAGTACAAATAAAAAGTACTAGATGGAAGCAATATTTATCAAAATCAGTTACTATTTTGCACAAAGTGAGATGTTTTGGTCAAATAATTTATGTCTTAATGAACTGCAGATTATAAATTGTTTCAGTTTTGTTTACATGTCAGCATCATTTTTTTAAATGAAGCTTGCATAGGGCTGTGAGTTATTGCAACTATCTGCTCGATGCAGTCTAATTGCTCACTGATATTTAATGATTTCCTTCAGATTGTTTACTGCAGTGTTCAGCATTATCATTATCTGACTGTCTTTATTATTTTTATTGTACCAACAATATGAACTGTAATACTTGAGTCTTTACCAAAATAAGGCACAATTTGGTCAAATTATTTGCTTCAAATTTGTAATGTGTATTCCCTGTATGTTATACACTGGGACTGACACTGTGCTTCTGTACAAATAAAAATTTTGTTAAGATCTTGAAAGGGATGCTCTCAGCATCTGTAAGCAAAAGATAAAATTCAAGCATTATACTTTAATTAATGGAAGATGTTAATGCTGATAAAACAGATGTGATCACTGTGTTTTTAATGTCAGAGTATTATAACTGTGAGATTTAAACTATATTAAATGATTCAAATCAAAGTAATGAAGTAGCTTCAGTCATTTTTGTGTTCTAAAAGTAGAAGCATATTTTTATTTCTGTGTTTTATGATCCTCTGTCATAAGAAAAAAATGGAAAGCTGTACAACATGTAGATAATTTAATCATTGTTTTTTTTTTTTCTGTTTTTTAAAGCTTATTAGGAGCAGCTCCCAAAACGACACCTAATTAAAGTACTGAGCACATATATGGTGTGTTTTAATCTTAATTCTACCCTGGAAAAGCCAGAGCACCACCACTCCATTCTATGCTTTTAGAATTTGTACAAAAAACACTCTTTAGCTGACTTTATTATTTTTGTGCTACTTTTCGTCTGACAATTTTCAAGTGGAGGTATAATATACTTGGTTAAACATGTTGCAGGGGAGCATCCCCAAATACAATCCTAAGCAAATACTAGTGTGTATAGTATAGTGTATAATTTAATCATGGTATAAATCCAGCAGTACTGTGAAGAGATTTTTTGTTAGAATGAACGAACAAACAATGTTAGAGGGATGAATAAAAAAAGAGAAACTAAGAATTTAAAGTCTTATGGAGCACTGTTAGATGCATCGTGTGAAAATAAAAGGAGAATGACACAACTGCAGTAATCCTAAGAGATGACCATGTTCTTACTGTACCTGACTGCAGAGGTAGGTATTAAGTAGTTACATTTACTCAAGTTATTTTTTGAAACATTTATACGTACTTGTAGGTGTTGTTGCACTTTTTACTTTTAATTAATTACCACTATCCTTTCTTAAATAGAATTTAAGGGTACGTTTTTCACCATGAGTACTTTGAGCTATTCGAGGATCAAATTGAAATACAGTAAATAGTAAATACTGTAGAATAAATTCTTTATCCAGTTTTACCTAATTTATACTAAAAGAAAATTTTCTCTCTGCCAAAATTACTTTTTTTATGATATAATTTATTTATTGTTTTATTTCATTCACTAAATACCAGAATTCACACACATTGTTCTGTCTAATGACATCATTCTGAACAATAAATTTGATGTTACAAGAAAACAATTCCTCAGTACTTAAGTAGCCATTCTACCAAGTATACCTCTTGATGCTTACGTGAGAAATTTCTTTGGCAACAGCTTTGTTCTTTTATCTGAGCAAGAAAATGTTAAAGGAACCATATTATGCAAAATGTATCTGAAGCATGTGTATGAGGTTCCCCACTGCCTTTTTCCATCTCTTAGCTAATGTGTGCTCTGAGTTCTCTGTTTGAAAGAGAAATTGAGGCCTTCGTCTTATGTTTCATTCCGTGCTCTTAGGCCACCTTTATGAACTCTGACTTGTTATCATAGTTGCAAGGTGTGGGGGAGCAGCCCTCGGGAGTACAGAGGTGTGGAAATCCAGAACAGCTCATCCAGAGGAAGGATGAATAAGGAGATTTTTGATAAAGGCTGTCCGCATAATCTAAGAGGAATTTTCCTGTACAAACAGCAGAAACAGGCTCTGAAGTTCTCATTAGCTTGTTTTGGTAGCCCTACTTGAGTAGCCTGATAAACCAGACTAAATGTGAGATTAAATGTTTAATTTAAAACTAGCGGGGGAAAATGATTTTGACCGCTTGCGGGTGGGGCTAGTTTCCTAGGCTACTACTTGAGTAGACTTTTTGGGTACTCTACCCATCTCTGCCTGAGTGGGTACAATTAAGGAAACAGAAAATATTTAGAAGAATGTGCTCTGGCCATACAAGACCAAGATATACATGTTTTCATTTGCAAACTGACAATGTGTGGTGAAATATTTCTCACTGCACACCACCTTGAATGAACCTTCCCATGGAGAAATATGATGGTGGCAGCATTATGCTATGGGATTCTATTTTCCCAATTAGTGACAGAGAAGCAGGTCAGAGTTAATAGGATTATTAATTGAGCTAAATAAAGGTTATTTGTGGCAGAAAAATATATTGCAAAACAATTTGGACTTGGATGTTAGAATGACATTATCCACGGACCAGAACTAAATCCTAGCCGAAAATCTATGACACATCCTGAAAGTCAGTGAGGCTTTCCATCTATTCTTACTGAGGTATTTATCAAAGAACTGGAATAATAACAAAAGCAATTAAAACTTCAAAACAGATGTTCCAAGAAAATAGATTTTTGTGTGAAAAGCTGGTGGAAATATATCACAATGGACTGAAAACTATACCTGCTTGGAAAGATAAATAAATGAAATATTGATTAACACAGTTTTGTGAGTACGAATCCACACCAAATTATCTTGATTTGACCTGAAGAAGCACTTTAAAACAGATAAAATAAATTTATTTTAATTTACAATTTTATCAGACATTTTATGAATATCCTGATATAAAAGACTACTTTTGCAGTTTTGCCTGGACTTGAAGGTATTTAACTACTTTTCACTCTTATCAGCTTGTAACACATAATGTTTCCCATAAGCATTGGGACAACAACACATTTCAACAAAAATCAAATAAATAAAACTCTTCATGCTCAGCCAACCAAGTCCAAACTTTAAGGGGGATTTCATAAAAAAAGAAAAACAATATCATTCCCTTTAGACTTTTATCACTAATTTGCTCTGGAAGAAATTCTCTCATGCTTGGCTAAGCATTGCATTCACAGGCGACAAGGGATCATTTAGAACTGGCAGAAATTGTGATACTCTAAAATAGAGCTGTGCATATGCAAAAACAAAATCTTCACATCTCTAAACTTTTCATCTAACTAAGAGTTTTAGTGCTAAATTGTAACATTGACAACTCATCTTTATATGTGTCTGCAAACTAAGATTATTTGTAAAGACAAAATATTGCTTAAATCATGTCTGTCACTGTAAAACAGTACATTGTAAAACAAGATAATTAGGCTCTAAAATGTCACTGCTGACTAACTTTGGGACTGCTTCGCTTACTAGTTAACAGTCATGTCCTTTTTACAGGTAAAAAAAAAAGCAACATTTTAAATCAAAATGAAAAAAAAAACCACAAAAAAAAGACATTTGCAGAATCTATATCAGTAATCATGCTGCTACACTTCTTTGGTTTTGAATGGCAGCAGAATCCGCCTGAGCACATAGCAGCAGTTAGCAGGCAAGGAGGAGCTGATATAAATCCAGTTACAGTCATACGGCTGCTGGACTTTTAAATCCACATTAAAGTCCTTTAGAAAGAAATATGTCACAAAGTGGTTTCAACTATAGGGTTAACAGTATTTTTGGTGGATTAGACGATGAAAGGAGAGTTTTCAAATTAATTATAACAATTACTCCTAAGAAACTCTACACACGTTTATTTCTCTGCTGCTTCTTATGTATAAATATACAAACATATATGCATGACACTCCATTTACTTGCACACTATTTTATTTTGATCATCTTATTTCTAAAACAGCTGATTATTTCATATTATGTTTTAGTTATGGTGGCAAATTTCCCCCTACAGCATACTCTCATTTTCTTTTATATACTTTCACTTGTATTTTACTTTGCTGGTGGGATGTGAATTTCCCCACTGAAGGTCTATTCTATTCTATTCTATTCTATTCTATTCTATTCTATTCTATTCTATTCTATTCTATTCTATTCTTAGTTTGAATCCCTTGGCAGTTTGATCAATATTCCACATCTTGGATGGAGCAACATTCACCCTTTACTCACAAAAACACAAATTGTGAGGTAACTTGGAGTTGAGTGCCTTGACAAAGGACACATCAACATGAGGATTGAATCTCCAAACCTCTTAAAAGCAAGACGTCTAAGTAGTCACCTTGTGTGTGATTGTGACACCCACAGTGAACATTTCCATGGCTCCTGATGACATTGCCCTACAGTATGTGTTCCCTTCTTTGAAGGCTCACACATAACTTTCCAATCCTTGGAAACATTTCCTTTTAAAATTTAAAATAATGAAGCGACTATTTATATTAAGACAAATAGATAATAACTACAACTTTGCAACAATGCTACTTGATCTTAACTTTTGACAAATGGTATGGTAGACAGGTGCAAGGTCTGTTTGACGATCCAACAGCGTATCATGCAAAATCATCAAATTTTAGCTTTCAGCTATATTGAAATGCTATTCCTTCGCCATAATCATGTACAAAGTGCTATTACGCTTGATTAATGCATGTCTGAATCATTCTAATGACTTCTGCCGTCTTATCATGAGCCCCTCCATATCCTGGAAAAACGTTTGGCCAAGAAGGTCTACACAAAGCTGTCATAACCTGGCCCCTCCAGGTAGCACCTAACTTGAAAAAGGCACACCTGCCTAGTAAACAACACAACTGCATTCTCTAACTAGAGTCCTGATGTGAGTGCAATCATCTCTGTTCAAAGATTATATAAAGAAGAACTTGTTCAACCTACTTAAAGATTAGCCTAATAACCCGAAGAGGCATTATATTGTACCATGCTCAGATGCAACGACATTTAATGCACAACACCCACGGTGGAAGAGGCAGTCTTGCAGTGAAGAAAACAGGTCATTTTTCATAATTAAGGAGTACTCCTTAGTCACAGAGGCCATGTTTTGGAGGCTTCTCCTGTTAATATGGTAAAGCTGTCCAGCACGTCTGGGACCAGGCTACACGTGATAAAAATTAGCCAATGAGCTGTGTCAGTCTGGGTCACCACTGCGAGCCACTTTTAGAGACAGCAAGGCAAACCTGTGGCAAGCTGGGCAATGGGAAAGAAGGAGACGATGAGAAAAAAAAAAAAGCAGAGAAAGTGTGGACTGCTGGAAGAACTGTGGCGAACTAGTAAAAGGAAAGTGAAATGGTGTGCTCAAAAATGACCCTGCACATTTTGAGTATGTTTGGCTCAACCTACTGTACTGCTGTGAAGCAGGATTCTCCAGCATTAACATCATGAAAAATAAATATTGATCAAGGCTCAAAATGAGCACCTTGATATATGCATGAGAATGGCTTTGTCACCATTCAAACCCAGGTTTAAAGCCTTGCAGGGAAGCCTAAAGACAACTTCTCTCATTAAGCCATAAAAAAAAATAAAAATAAATACCAAACGGTCAGTTCAGGTGTTTTACAAAATATGTGAATCAGGAAATTATATACCAAACTGAATGATTGTTGTT